TACTAAAAACATGACATTCATATTAAATTATTTGACTGAGTCTGATGATAATAATCAAATAGATTATTTATAAACACATTTAAAAGGAAACAGTAAGTCAGAATGGGTTCACTAATATAACACTCAAATTCTATCATATGTCCTCCCCTTCTAAATGTTGGAGAAAATCACAAAACTAAGCTAACAGAACTCTTAATTTTTCATCATAAATCTCAAATACCCACAGACATTCCTACCACACTTCCCTAGCAAATATACCTTTTTTTACTCACTAATACGATAAGGACACATCTCAAATCGCTAACAACCACTCTTTCCTCTCACTTCCAGGTGACATGTCACAAGGAAAATAGATGAAATAAAACAAAAACTACCCCAAATTCCAACCACCCAGTTCACCAACTTCAGCTATCTTTCTCTGCATACCTTTCATTTTTCCTATTAATGAAAAATTGTCCCTGATCCTATTAAATGATGTCATCCAGGTAGTGAATACAGTCCCCTGTTGTCTTCCCAATGTCTGCAGTTCCACAACTATTCCCCTTCTCTTCAGCATCAACCTTTCCCTTTATACTTGGTAATTGCCATAGCCTCACAAACGTGATATATTTCCTGTCTTCAAAACACCATCTCTTGATGCCCACATCTCCCTCCTGCCCTAATTTTATTTTATTTATTTATATATTTCTTAGATTTGTTTTAAAGACAGAGAGAGACTGTGTGTGTAAGAGCATGCTCAAGTGCAAGAACAGGGAGAGGGGCAGAGAAAGAGGGAGGGAGAGAGAGAATCTCCAGCAGACTCCCTGCTGAGCACAGAGCCCCACACAGGGCTGGATCTATTAGGATGCTATTAAAATGATATTGCTTTTTAAATTATAGTTTCTAAGTGTTCATTGCTTGTCTAGAAAAACACCATTTGTTTTTTGTATATTGATGTTGAATGTTTCCACCCCGCTGAATACATTATTAGTTCTAGTAGCTGGGTTTTTTTTTTGTTTTTTTTTTTTTAGATTTTTAAGGAGTTTCTACATAAATGATTATGCCATCTAAGAATGATAGCAGTCTTCCCTCCTCCTTTCCCATCTCTTTCATTCTCATACCTTATTGGATTGGTTAGTTACCTCCAGTACAATGCTGAACAGAAGTGGAGAAAGTAGACTTCATTGCCTTGTTCTCAGTCTTCTGGAGAAAGCATTCATTTTCATGATTTCAATAGTAGGTTTGTCATAGTTACCATTTATCGGGTTAAGGAAATTTTCTTTTATTCCTAGTTTGACAAGTTTTTATCATGAATGGATATTGAATATTTCAAGTGATTTTTTTTCTGCAGATTGAGGTGATGTGGTTTTCTTTTTACAATCTGTTGATATAATGAACTACTCCAATTGTGTTTAGAAATTTGAACCAACCCTACATTCCCAAGATGAACCTGATTTTTTTAGTATATGTCATCCTTTTCATATATTACTGGATTTTATTTGGTAAAATTTCTGTCTCCATGTGAATGATACCGGATTATAATTTTCTTTGTCAAGTTTTGATGTCTGTGTAATGCTGGCCACATTATATGAGTTTTGAAGTATTTCATCCTCTTCTATTTTCTGAAAGAGTTAGTAGAGAATTGATATTATTCCTTCCTTAAATTTTTGGGAGAATTCAACAGTACAGTCCTCTGGTCCTGGAATTTTCCTTGTAGGAATTATGTGTGTGTGTGTGTGGTATGTGAGAGAAAGAGGGGTTGGGGGAGAGAGAGAGAGAGAGGAATTTTTTAACTAAAGATTAAAATTACTATGAAGGATATAGAGCCATTCAAGTTTTATATTCTTTTGTGAGTTTTGGCAGTTGGTGTCTTTCAATGAATTTGCCCATTTCATCTGTTTCTTGGCATAAAAATGTTCTTAATATCCTTATAATGTCTGTAGAGTCTAGAGTGATGATATATTTTTAATTCCTCATATTGGTAATTTGTGTTTTCTCTTTTTTTTTTTTTTCTTTATCAGTCTGGCTAGAGTGTATCAATTATACTGATCTTTTCAAAGAACCAACTTTTTTTTTTTTTTTTTTTAAGTAGGCTCCACATCCAGCATGGAGCCTGACATTGGACCTGAACTCATGACTCCAAGTTCACAACCTGAGCTGAGATCAAGAGTCAGACACCCAACCGAGCTACCCAGGTGTGCCTCAACGAACCACTTTCTGATTGCATTTATTTCCTCTATTCTTCTGTTTCATTCCATTTATTTCTCCCCTTTATTATTTCCTTCATTTTTCTTGATTTGGTTTTATTTTGCTGCGTTTTTTTCTAGTTTCTTAAGATAGAAATTTAAATCATTGAACTGAACTCTTTCTTCTTCTCTAATGTAAGCAGTTAAAATTATACATTTTAATGTGCTTTAATTTTCACTTAATTCAAAATATTTTCTCATTTTCCTAGTGATTTCTTCTTTGATCCATGGGTTAATTAGAAGTGCTACTTAATTTCCAAATATTTAGAGATTTCTTTCGGGTATCTGTTATTGATTTCTAGTTTAATTCCATTGTGGTCAGACCATATACTCTGTATGATTTCAATCCTTTTAAAGCTGATGAAATTTGATTTCTGGCAAAGATTGTGGTCTACCTTAGTGTTCCATGTGTACTTGTAAAGAGTGTATTCTACTATTGTCAGGTTGTGTCACCTATAAATATATCAATTAGGTCAAGTTGGTTGATAGTGCTGTTCAAGTCTATACTAATTCTCTCTCTACTGGTTCCACCAATTACAGAGAGATAAGTGTTGAAGTCTGTAACTAATTACTGATTAACTTCTCCTATAATTAATAAATTTGTCCCTTTATATATATATATTTATGAAGTTGTTATACATTTAGTATTTTTATGTCTTCTTGATAAAATTTACCCCCATCAGATTCACTCTCTACCCTTCTTCAGGCTGGACTCTCTCCCTAGGAGCCTGAACTTTATAGGTTACATCCTTGCCCTCTATTTTTAGGTTGGTTTTAGCCAATGAAAACCACCAGTTGGACAGTGCAGTATGGAGGGAAAGTGGTTTGCATACTTAATCCTTCCAGTTCCTCCCTGTTGGGTGGCAGGTTGGCAGTAGTTATATTCCTCTATGAAGGTACTATAGGTGGCTATCAGGTAGGTAGCTGTCTCCTACCTGAACAAGTCTCCTTGGGCTCTAGTAATCCCTCTTCCCCCAAATCTCTTAGGCCTAAGGGTGATAATGACTCTGATTAGTTCTGGATGCTTCATGATTACTTTTTGTTTTCCAGTAACCCTGTCCATACCTTTATAAATGCCCTTTCATTAAGTATCTTTAATTACCTCTCTTCAGTATGCTGCCTGTTAACTTGCTGGGGATTCTTACCAAAATGCATTAGAGTACTAGCTTACGTTATTTACAGGTAACTTACTTGGTTCTTCACATTCTACTTACTGGTTCAACCAAGTTGATCACTCATCAGGCACTTGAAAAAGGAGAAAGGGGTCTATCCGAATGTTTTGATTAGAGGAAGAAATAATAATGACTGTCTATTGACCCAATTCTCCTAAATAGTGCCAGGGCCCAATATTCTCATACCTAGACACTGTTTCTTAGGGCTTGTTATAGATGACAATGTGTCATGCTAGAACTCCACCTGGACCCTAAAAAGCTGCAGTGGTCACCAAGAAGACACATGATGTGAACATAATGGACATAGGACCCATCACAGTAGCCCTAGGTTGCAGTCAGAATAGAGATCATATTGTGTTCCCCGTCCCCACACACACACACCTCATCCCATTTCTTAGAACATGTGCAGTATTCGGTTTGAACAGAGGAGTTGACAGGTTCTCTGTACAGGAATTAAACACAGGACAAACTATTATGGAGGAATGGGCAATGGCGAATACTCAAAATTATAGGATATCTGAAGGAGCAATTATCACGTTTTTCTTGAATCTTAAGTCAGTGATAAGCCTAAATGTGTTAACTCTGATTTAGACTAGAAAGTCTTCTGAAGAGATTTTAAAAGAATACTTTTAAAATATAAAAAGATAAAAATGCTGCACATGGGCTATATCTCACAAAAGCGACCAGGTTTAAGGGACTTAAACCTGTCCAGATGTGTTGCAAATAAGGGGAGCGACAGTTTTACGTCAAAAGCAAGGAACATCTGACTTATTCAGTGCTACTATACACTGGATTAGCCTCATTTTTGCACATGCCTTGTCCACAAACCACGAACAATAGGCATCCTCGATCTTAACAAAAGAGTTGCCGGCACTAGCCCGGTAACAGGAGGGGATGGCGCGGCTCTGGGTGTAAATGAGACACCCACTTCGGACTCACTTGAGCAAAACTCTTTTCTTGCGTCCCGCGCGAAGAATACCCAGAGGTCCCTAGGCCTTGCTCACCTCAGCCTCCAGTTTCCTTTCCCCGTGAGGCCCCGCCTTCCAGCCGAACTCACCAATTAAAGCTACACGCACAGAGGGAAAAAAAAAAAAAGAAAGAAAAAGCTGCTCGCAGTATCGAGTTCTTGGGCGGCTGACTCTCGCGAGAACTCGCGGAGCGCCGGCGGTTCCTGCAGAGACTTCGCGAGCGGATCTCAGGGGGCGGGCTGCGCCGTGGCCCCGCCCTCCCTGAGCGCGGGCGCGCAGTGGCGGGAATTTCGCCTGTTTCTGATTTAGACCTCGCTAACGCCGGGGTTGTAGACCCGACAGCTGGGGGCGGACCTCGGGGGCCGAAAGTGTGAGCAGGTACGCCGTGCCTCAAAGGAGGGGCGCTCCGGTGCGCAGGACACCGGCTTCCTTCGCCCTGTGCCCGGCCCGCGCTGGTCGCCGCCGAGTGGGAACCTGGCGGAACTTGCCTTCCGGCTGGGAGGACTAAAGATTGGCGCCGGGCGGTTCCTGATCCCCACCCGAAGTGCGCAAGGAGGCTTTTCCACGACACTGTTGGGAAACTGGCTCGGTACTTTTCGGTAACGTAGCGGGAGGTGCAGGTCGAGGCGGGGTCGGGAGCTGAAGCTGGATCTGTCCTGCAACCATTTCTTTTCTTTTTCGCGCTGTCCCGGCTGCAGAATCCGACCTAGATGGCAGATGTGAAGTTCTGCCGCAGCCAGTCGGGGGTGCATTCTAAGTTCTGACAGCCTTGCTGTCGGGGTGTCGGTGTGGGGAGAGTCGTTGAGGAATTGGCTTCTCGGGCTTTTTTCTTTGTACTGGGGGGACGTTTTGAGAACTTTCTGAGATACCGCCAATCTCTTGGCCCGCCCATCGTCCTGGAATCTAATCACAGTATCTTTGGAGTCTTGAATGATAGGAGTCCCAAACATTTCAGGACAGAAAGTAAATAATGGATAACTGTTCCACTGCGTCGATGTTCCTGACCGACAGCTTGGAACTGGAGCTGGGGACAGAATGGTGCAAACCCCCTTGCTTTTCATGTGGTATTGACAACAGAGGAGGAGGAAATCATTTTTCTGGAGAGTCCTACCTTTCCAGCGGAGCCCTTAAGCGGTAGGTAAAAAATCGGGGACTGTGTTTTTCCCTTATCAAATTTTTCATCAGTTTGTTAGGAATGTTATTTAATTATGATTTAAGTCAACTTAAACTTTGTTGTTCAAGCCATGTTTTTGCAAATCGACTTAGTATATAACATGGGTGCAGGTTATCATCTCTGTTGTCGGTTTCCTGGTTAAAGCGTACCTAAAAGATTTTTGGATATTGAGAACTTCTTGCTACCGGATGTTTTCTTATCTCACAGCTATCTCAGTTTTGGGGTAGGAAGCTGGCCACTAATTTCCCTTTTACTTAAAGTGAATTCTGAGCTAGCTGGGCTTTTTGAATTGGAATATCCTTCTAAAACATGAAATAATAATCTGGAGCTTCTCAGTAATTCTTAAGTTAGACATAGACATTGTTTTGTTGCCCCAGTTCCTTCTAATTCTGTGTATCTATACACAGAAGTCATAGACTTATTTTTGTTTTAACTTTTGAATAAATTCACCAGATTGTGTAAGTTCACAAAAATATTATTCTTTAAAGTTCTTGCCTTAGGCAGCTGTACACAAGTTGCTGTAAAACTGCAGTTGTTGAAATATTTTGGGAATACCTGCTGAGGCAATTTCAGAAAGGAAGCCATTTTTGTTGATTTTATAGTTGTACCTTGTTTGAGGCCTTAAAAGAGATTATTCAGTTTGATTATGCTCCAGACATGGCTCAGTAACTTTTACCTGTTTTAAACATTAAATGTCCCCTCAAAGGATGAAATTCTTCGACTGAAGACCACAGGCCAAAAAAGTATGTTCCCTAGACTTACTTTTTGAGTTTTTCCCCTAAGTTACATTGCTCTTTAGTTACACTTTATCACTCCATATGACTGAATTTTTCATACAATCTAAATGTAGTAATTCCTGAATATGTAAGGTACCAGGGCATATCATAATTTTATGATATCATTGTTGACATGTCACATACAATATGGATTTATATAATGACAAAAATATGCTATAGTTGGGATTTAGCATACTTTTTATAAGATCAGAGTTTTCATTTCAGATTAATTTTGAATCTTGATCCTTTACCAACTAATTTTGAAGAAGATACAGTGGAAATATTTGCCATTCAGTGGGTTACTGAAACAGCATTAGTGAATTCATCTAGAGTGCTCTTTCATTTATTCAGGTATGTTTTGGTTTTAACTGCCTTTGACCATTGATGCTTTTCAGTTGTGTAAGTTACTTTGCTGGGTGGTTTCTGATACCAATATTACAAAAGCAGGAGTTGTTCATGTTGCTCTCTTGATTATCTTATCAGTAACAACAATCATGTAATGTTTGATGGAGCAGTGATTTTAATGATTCGTTTTTTAGTGAGTCTTCATTCTTTTTCAGACTTTTTATTCAACATTGACATCATGTATTGAAGACAAATATTTAATGCTTTGAACCGTATTATAATTTTGGAAGAAAACTAAAATACTTTTGTTACTGAATCGTCATAGTCTTTCATTGATTTTTAGAGAATGAATTCAGACTTTCCAGATACATCTTTCAGACTGTATAGTAATATAATTAATTAATATGATTAAGTTGGACAACATTAAAAATTTTAATGAACTTTTCCAAACATACACAAATGTAGAGAGAATACTTTAACGAAACTTCACATAACCTCTCTCAGCGGCAGTACACCATCAAGGTTTTATCACACTTCTTCATCTGTCCCTTTCCCTCTTTTTTTTGGTTTGAGTATTTTTAGCAGATTCCAGGCATCATGTTATCTTACCCTTAAATATTTCAATAAGCATTTCTTAAAAATATGAACTTTTAAAAAACATAAACAGTATCTCATCACAATTAACATTATTTAATGATATTTATAATATATAATTATATATACATATATGCAGCTTTTAATAGATATTTTTGGAAGGTCAAACAAAGGCACGTTTTATCTTTTCTCAGTCTTGACTGTCTGACCCTGTATAAATATCCACAACTTTTTTAAACATCATTCATAAATGAGAGGCTATGCACATACTAAAGCTATGTAATAGATTTGGAAATATCTCTATAATACATGCTTTAAATTTTTCCAAAATTAACTCTCACCTTATATTTTTTTAAATTAGGCAGCAACTGTACAACTTGGAAACCTTATTACAGGCCAACTGTGATTTTGGTAAGTTTTAAATGTTTTTAATAGCAAAAAGGAATTGAATTGCACATCTATCTATGATGTGTAATTGGGATATAATAACATGGAGGAAGAAGCATTAGGTTAGAAGTTCAGGATAGTGTTTAGTGTTCAGAAAAAATATAACACTTAAATTTTGTTGTAGCTGAGATTCATAGTATTTTTCTATGTGATAAAATTGATTTAAGGCTAAACATTTCTAAAGTGAATTAACTTGCTTTGGGGGCGGGGAGTGGGACCTTATGCTGTCTTCTTGCTCTGCTTTTGGTTTGTTTTTGACATTTAATGGGTTACTCATGGAGGGGGGTTGCTATAGTTAAGGTAGTGAAGGGAATTGAAGACAGTGTTTTAGCGCAGGCTAGCTGCTTCTCCTTTCTAGCAATTGTGCTCCAGTGTAGGAATTAGACTCATGGCACTGTGGTCAGCCTGGGTTCCAACCCTAGCTAATTACGGGTCTCACACCAGGTAACAGTTCCCACCTCATTGAGTTCTTGTGAGGATAAATGATATAATGCCTGTGACGTACTCAGGCTAATACCTGTTATTAGTGATGCCCAGCAACTAAAGATCACCTGGAACACACCTTTGGTCAGTGAAAGGTTGAGTAGCTTACTAACACAAGAAGGAAGTACACATCATGAGAAACAGTTGGGGCTTCTCAGGGAGAGTAGGGAGGGGCTTGTGATGGGGTTTGTACTTACACTGGTGATTTGGAGAGAGTTTAAGGGGACTAGGATTGGATGGTGTTAAGCAGGGACAGTGTAATGAATTGAATATGTTAATTTTTGTCTAGGAGGTGGGACCCAGAAAGGCTAAGGAGGGTTCTAATTAGTAAAGTAATAGTCATGTTAGCTGCAAGAGGGAAATATTTTGTTTTTGTATTTTGTTTGTTTTTCTGTGATTGCATAGTGCCTTCTTTCTGTATTCAGACATAATTACAGAGAGATTTTGTTTTTGTCTTGTTTCACCATAATCACAGAGTGGCCCCATCTGATTACTTTTGATATTTCATGAAAACTTTAATTTCATTAGGGAACATCATGACCTAGTTGTTAGCTATCTGCTGTCAGGGCTGTTTTGTTTTCCTACTGTGTGCTCAGTAAATGTTGAGTAGTATTTATCACCTGAGGCTGTTTCAGGCCAGGTACTGTGTAAGGTGACGATGAATCAAAGTGGAAGAATCTGCTGAGGAGTTTGTAGTTGGTAGGACATACAGACACACAAGCATAGGACAGCATGGTAGACGGAAAAGTGTAGTAATCGTGGCCTGTATAAGCTGCTATGGGAGCCAGGGGCTTCATCTGTTTAGGGGCCCATCACAGAGTGATGCCAGATCCTGGTCTACAGAGATGAGGAAAAAATAAGTAGGCAGAAGTTTTGGGGAGCGGAAGAGTTCCAGGTAGAAACAACTGTATAGACGAAATCATTGAGGTGTACTGAAACCTACGTTCAGGGAGCAGGAAGTGGTAATTATGTGTGGTTGGATCAGAATGTATGGTAGAGTGATAAATTTGGAACAGATGAAATCACAAATGAACTGCTGCTTGTATGGCTTACAAATTTTTTTTTGTCACTGCCCACTGATTAATTATTTAAACTTTGATATCACTGAATCTATTTTGGTTTCAGGGAAGATATCCACCCTACACTGCAAAGCAGACAATATTAGGCAGCAGTGCGTGACATTTCTTCATTACGTTAAAGTTTTCATCTTTAGGTAAGATGTCAGATGAGTATTTTGATTACTGCATGAATTTCTGAGTGCATGTTCATCCAGAGTCTGGTTATTTGCGTATCCATCTTTTCTTAGGTACCTGAAGGTACAAAATGCTGAGAGTTCTGTTCCTGTCCATCCCTATGAAACTTTGGAGGCACAGCTTCCATCTGTGCTGGTTGATGAACTTCATGGATTACTCTTGTATATTGGACATCTATCTGAACTTCCCAGCATTAGTCCAGGAGCATTTGTAAATCAAAACCAAATTAAGGTTTGACTTGTTTCATTTAGTTTTTAAATCCTCGGGGTTTTTTTTTCTTTTCACAAGGAATATTCATTCATTCAAGAATGAGGGAAAATAGTCAAGAGTGCAGCTCAGGGACTAGACCCTCTGAGTTGAAATTCTGGCTCCTCTTCTAATTATGTGCCATTGGGCAAGCAACACCTCTTGCCTCAGTCTCCTCACGTGTATAATTGGTTTGCTTCCTAGAGTTATTGGGAAAATTAGATAAGTTAAAATTAAATAAAGTGCTTAGAATGTAATATAGACTGAAACAGTGATCGCTATTCTCAATTCCAGTTTATAACGTGCAGATATGTACAAGTTTCAAAGCAAAATAACCTTTACTTTTTAAAAATTTGTACCATTTTTCCCACTGATAAAGGTTTGGGCAAATCCTAGTGTTTATTACCGTAAAATTCAAGATCACCTTATTATAAAAGCTACAGCTTCAAAACCACAGCATTATGTATATTCTTTTGAGACCTTTTTGGAATATGATTAAGATTGTTTTGACTATTCCCCTTTCTTCTACCTGTGAAGTCATTCCTATAGAAGTTTTGTTCTTTTAATATTTGTATTGATAGCATGACCCAGCTTATAGATGTAATTAACAAATTCTCCATAGGAAAATGTGAGCTTATATGGATGGCAAATTGTAATTCCCCGTGGGTTTCCCTGAACTCTCAACTTCTTTCATTCAATTTGACTTTACCAATTTGAATAACATTCAGTTTTTAGGAATGTGTCTTTGCCAAAATGTAAGGTACGAATAAATGTTTATGTATTTCTATGAAATTTAACAATAACAAAATACTCTTCTTATCAGGGACCAATATATGTAATATTAAAAATAAAAAGTCCTACCTGAATTCAGAGGTTAATATGTCTAATTCATAGAAAGCAAATAGATAATTGCTTGTAATCATGACACTTAATAAATATTCGTGATAGATTATGGGGAGAGGGATATTTTTCCTTCATTTTGGTCTCTATAAATTGGACTGGCTTTATTTTCTGGATCTTCATCAAATGCTTAAGAAAATAAAAATAGGGGCGCCTGGGTGGCTCAGTCAGTTAGGCAGCTGCCTTCGGCTCAGGTCATGATCCCAGGGTTCTGGGATCGAGCCCCGCATCGGGCTCCCTGCTGGGCGGGGAGCCTGCTTCTCCCTCTCCCTCTGCTTGCCTCTCTGCCTACTTGTTCTCTTTCTGGATCTCTCTGCCAAATAAATAAATAAAACCTTTAAAAAAAAAAAAAGAAAAGAAAAGAAAAATAATTTAGCAGTGGAAATAGAGACTGCAAAGGTTCTCAACTAGGTTTTGCCTTTCATAGCCTTTTTAATTAGGCAAACTTGAAAAGAGGTTATTTAAAGATCAGAAGGCTGAATTTTTAATGCACATACACAAAAAAATCATACACTGAAATACTGTTCTTTTCTGAAACAACAGCAAGAAAAATCTTACAAGATGAAAAGTATCTTTTAAGACTCTATTTCTTATTTTACCTATCTTACATATGAAAAGTATTTAATTGGCATTTTCAGTTAAGCATCTGTCTTTTATTTTTAAGGAACTTTCTTTATTAGAGATATTTGTTGGGTATTATGTATTACAGATACTTTCATCAATTTATCTTTTCTTTTTTAGCAATTTGCCTTGCTATGGAGATGGTTTAAGTTTTGTATATAGTCACATTTGTCAGGTTTTTCTTGTGTATCATCTCTGTGATTGTTAAAAATATACTTGTTTTTTACATATATCTTTTTAATTCATCTCTTTTTAAAAAATATGCTGTGAGGTGGGAAATCTAACTTTAGTTTCTTGCAAATGAATAAGTTAATAACCAGTCTTTTATTGAATGGCTCATGTTTTCCCCACTGATTGGAGATACCATGTTTATTTCTCTCTTGCCTATTTTTGCTGTTTATTTATTATCTATTTCTGAGCCAATACTGTTGTATTAGTGTAGCATTTTATTTTGTTTGCACATTTGATAAGACAAGTCCCCTCTCTATCATTCTTCCTTGTTCTCTTAATAGAACATGTATATCATTGTCATTTATTTTTAAAGTGATACTAAATGTTGGCTCAAGGAAGGTTATTGACAACCCTACTACAGCACAGTAGTTAAGAGCACTGGCTTTTGAATCAGAGTTAGATTTTAATCTTAACACATGAATTGAAAGGTAAATTTCTTCACTGCTTTTAACTTCAGTTTCTTAATGGGCATCTCAATAGTGTCTACAATGTGATAGTCTATTTCTCCTGTTAGAATACTTCATAGGAGTTCCTGGGTACTCATTACATTTAAAAACATATTTCCTAACTAAAGTCTAAAACAAGATTATGAAAATAAGTGGTTAAAAAAATTCTTTTACTGCCTTGCAGCTATAGTAAAATCAGAGGTTGGTTAGAAGGGACCTTTACTATACAAGTCTATTTAGCAGCTCTAAGATGGGTCTGTCCTAAAGCATCAAATGAAAATACGCTTTCAAAGATCTCCAGTGAAAGAATCCTCTAATGAACAAGACCAAGTTTTTCCCTGAGCTTTTGAAGAGTGGGTAGGTTACTTGGTTCCTGATCCTTGTCCTTATGGAGGAGTGTCGTAGCATGCTATAAAATGCCTACTAAAGTACTATGAATTCTCAGTCACAGTTGATAATATCCTTCACAGCTTTTTCCACCATCATGGCATTTATTACATCTCCACTTAGATATCCATTGGATGGTGCTAGAAATTCTTCACATGCTGGGTGAAAAATTGAGTAAGTTTATGGATTTCTGATTTATATCCTTTTTAAATCTAAACCCTTAATTGTTTTTTGTTTTTTTTTTTTTAATTACAGGTCATCATTGCTTTCCGGGTTTTTTAATTTTTATCTTACATCAAATAGTAACCAAAGTAAAAAGTCAAGGTCTTAATTCCTTTTCTCAAGAGAACAGTTTGGTCCATTTATCTTTCCATACTTCTATATTAGTTTGTGTGTGTATGTATATATACATAGAAACTCTTGGGTAGGATTTTTGTCTTTGTTTCTAACTAACCACAAATGGTAGTATTCTGTGTAATGTTTAATTCAACAGTTTTTTAGAGATCTGTTCGTGTCAGTACATATAGTACTTCATTTATTTAAGGGCTGTATGTTATGGCTCTGTCGTAATTTATTTAGCCAAGTCTATTTTTTAATATTTCCATTATTTACATATTTTTGGTACTACAAGTAATATTTCACGGAACATCCGTGTGTGTGTGTGTGTGTGTGTGTGTGTGTGTGTGTGTACATCTTTGAACACATGTACAAGTTATTTTGTAGAGTGGATTCTTAGAATTGGAGTGGCACATTCAGCTTTAATATCGTAACCACTGCTTAGTTGCTGTACAGAGTTTCCCCAATTTGTGTACATGCAAGCATAGCTTTGCTTCATTCTCTTGCCAGTAGTGGATATTATCAATTATTTTTATTTTTTGCCAAATAATACATGAAAAATGATATTGAATCTGTTTTGCAATTTTTTGAGTACCAATGAAGTTGAACATTTTTATATAATTTTATTGTTTTTATATTTGCTTTATTGTTCATTATCTTTTGCTCATGTTTCTTTTTTTAAAAAAAATTAGTAGTTTGTATATATTATGGATAATACTTTTTTATTTCACATATTGCCTGTTTATTTCTTGGTCTTGCTATTTGGCATCTTTAGAGTCCATTATCAACTTAGCAGTATTTTGTAAATATTACCTATTTGTAAATTATCAATTTAGGTTATAGGTTATAAAAACATCCATTATCTCAATATCTGATTTTCAGTAAGCTAATAAATACAAAAATACATGTATGTATATATATGTGTATGTGTACACATATATATATATACATGCACACAAACATACAAAGATGTCTACAAATACATAATTTCTTCTCTCACATGGACTTTGTATTTCAGATAATAATTCCTTAGAGCAGTACTTAATCTGATAGGTACACGTTTTAGTATCTATTACCTTGGTTTGCTCTGTTCACACCACAAAACAATTATATGTGATTAGTTTTATCAGTATTTGTTTTAAAAATGTTTTAAAGCCTTTATTGGTCAGAAATATTGGTGAAGATTTTCTAGCATTTCCCCGCTTTTATTTTTTTTTTCCTTAAGTGATGTTACATTGTTACATTTTAAAGATGACCACATTAAGAAAAGAGAAGTCTATTAAGTGGCACTTGAGAAAATTGAAAACTTTTTTGGGGTAATGTATATCAGTGATCAGATAAGAAAGGAATTGCCTCAAATTTAACTTTTATTTCTAAAGAAATTTGTTTTTAACTGTATATGTTGCAGTTTTGCCTTAAGTGAATTTAAAGGAGTATAGTTACTTTCTTCCTTCGAATTTGTAAAATCTACTGTGGTTTTAAATAGGATATATTTTATTATATTTTTAGAACAAGTTATATATGGTCATCAGTTTATGAATCTGGCAGGTGACAATTTAACCAACATCAGCCTATTTGAAGAACATTGTGAAAATCTCCTTTGTGATTTAATAAGCCTGTCACTCAACAGGTATGACAAGGTAATGTTTTAAGAGTTTATATTACTACATCTGAAACTAATGTGTACTATATGTTGGCTACTTGAATCTAAATTAAAAAAAGTTTATTTGTATTTTTGATGTTTAATGACAATAGTCCTTAATGTGTGTCGTTTATGAGAATTTAATCTGATTGGTTTACTTGTTAATTCTCCTAATTTTATATTTATTATTGTCTGGAAGTTGAATTGGAAAAGAATTTGATTTAAACATTTAAAATGGTAAAATTAATATATCAGAGGCAGTTGTTTTGTTTTTAAAAATAGCTTTTTCCATCTTGTCAAAAATAAGTGAAAACAGGATGTTTATGACAATAACTGGAAGTTTAACTTATATGCAAATAGAGTCCAGCCCCTTTATAATATATATATATATAGTTACATAATACAATAAATGAGTACTTAGCTAAAATTAGTTGACAAATTTAAAGGGAGATTTTGTTTTTCAAAAAAGTGTAGAATCATGGGAGAAATCATGTTCTTACTAAATTGTGTTTAATAGAGTGTTTAATGCAGACAGTGATTTAAAGGTGCTACAATACCTACTCATTTTCTAACAATGGAAATTTGTAGATTTATCAGTTATTTCAAATTGTTAGCATAAACCTTATGGGAAATCAGGATTTATGATTTTTTTAAATTTAGATTGTTTTATGTATTATCAAAATCTTTGAAATCTGGTCTATATAATTTTATAATTAATGTTATATAGTGGATTGACCAGACATGATTTGGTAATATCTTTTTTTTGGAGGGGGTTTCCTTTTTTTTTAAGTTCAATTAATTAACAATATAGTGTATTTTTAGTTTCAGAGGTAGAATTCAGTGATTCATAAGTTGAATACAACACCCAGTGCTCATTCCATCACATGCCCTCCTTCATGCCCACCACCCAGTTACCCCATCCCCCCCACCTCCCCTCCCGCAAGCCTTAGTTTCTTTTCTATGCTTAAGAAGTCTGTTATGGTTTGTCTCCCTCTCTGGTTTCATCTTGTTTTATTCTTCCCAGGTTTTTTTTGTTTTTTTGTTTTTTGTTGGTTTTTTTTTTTTTACTAACCAGAATCATGCTGTATGTATTGTTCTTTGATGTGCTTCTTGGAGATGTTCTCAGCCTAGCACACTCCTTTTATCTATTATATATTCCACAGAAATAGTTAGATGTTTGGGTTGCTTCATTCTGCTGTTATAATTATGCCCACTTTTGTGCACAAACTTGAGCACAGGGGCTGGAATTTGAAGGGGAAGAGTGTAAATTTGAGCCCTTGGCAGTCTGAGGTGAAGGTGTGTTGACTTGGCATTGAGCAGGTGGCAGGCCTTGCATGCTGACTTGGGCAGGAGGGTGGCTGGACTGTGAATTTGGGACCCACAGGCCGATGGCATCATGTGACAGGACATGGCTGGTTTTGCTTTTAATTTTTGTTTTTCTGGGAAACTCGATCTCTTCCTCTATTCTAAATGAAAGCCTTGCTGGATAGAGTATTCTTGGCTGTAGATTTTTTCCTTTTAGCAGTTGGAACTTATCATGCCACTTTCTTCTGGCCTGCAGAGTTTCTGCTGAAAAACCCATTTGTAGCCGTATGGGGTTTCCCTTGTATGTACCTGCTTTCCTTTCTCTTGCTGTTTTTAAAATTCTCTCTTTATCACTACTTTTGGCCTTTGTGTCTTGGCACAGACCTCTTTGGGTTGGTTTTTGTTGGGGGCTCTTTGTGCCTCCTCGATCTGGATTTCTCTTTCTTTCCCCAGATTCAGGAAGTTTTCAGCTGTTATTTCTTCAGACAAATCTTCTGCCCCCTTTTCTCACTCTTCCCCTTCTGGGATCCCTATCACGTGACTGTTATGCCTGACAGTGTTGCTGAATTCCCTGGGTCTATTTTCATTTTGCATATTTTTTCCCCCTCTCATCTGCTCGTCTTGATTGCTTTCCATGGCTCTGTCCTCCAGGTGGCTGATCCTTTCTTCTACTTCCTCTTGCTTGCTATTTATTCCAGATGGTCTATTTTTATTTCCATTTAACAAGTCCAATAGCTCTAACTGGTTCCTTTTTATGTCTTCTATCTCTTGGTGGAGGGTCTCATTGAGGTCCTGGACTCCTTCCTCAATTCTAGCAAGTATCTTTATGAGCGTTACTTTAAATTCGCTATCAGGCATATTACCTCCGTTTCACTTAGGTTTCCTGCTCTGATTTTGTCCTGTTCTTTGATTTGGGATATAGTCCTCTGTCTCCTCATTCTGTCTCTTGCATTGTCTGTTTTTCTGTGTTAGGAAAGTCAGCTACATCTCCTGCACTTGAAAGTAGTGGCTTTATGAAGAAGAGGTCGGGCAGTACAATGTCTGTTTCCCAGAACCTGGTGCTTCAGGGGGTGTCTCCTATGTGTGTTGCTCCAGGGGTGTCCTACCGTTGTGGCTAGGATGTGTTTGCCTTCAGTCCTGTTGTCTGCGATGGCTCTCTGCCTGTTGTGGGCAGAGTCTGGTGCCCATGGTATTAGTGGGCTGCTCTGGGGTTGCCTTGGGCTTGAGCTGAGTCAGACCAGGCGTTTGCCAGAGATGCAGTAGCACCAAACTGCAGGCACTGTCCCTGTGTAGTCCCATGAGAAGCTTTTGTTGGTGGGTGGGGCCTGCAGTCAGACCCATTGCCTGCCCCCAGCTCACTGCTGGGGTCACAGTCAGACTGGTGTGTGGTTATCTTCCCCTCTCCCTGGGGCAGGACTCACTTTGGAGTGGTGCTGACCCTTGTGTGGGCCGTGCACACATTGCCAGGCTTGTGGCACGGCTTTGATGGGATCTTGCCCAGAGCGATCAGAGGGGGTGGATCTGCTTTGCTGTGGCCTCTTGTCTATGCTGGGCTGTGGAGTCTGTTCTGCCAGTTTTTGGGCTGCTTTCTGGGTTATTTATGCCAACGTGGGTGCTCTCTAGGCGGCCAAGTGGCAAGAGGTGAGCCCAGGGACGTCCTACTCTGCCATCTTCCCAGCAGCCTCTCGACTTAGTAACATCTTAACAGTTATCTTTGACTCTGTATTATGTTAGAAACATGAATGTAGTATATATGAAATAGTAATTACATAATGAATTTCTGAAGTCCAGCTATACTTGTAAATATAGTGCATATGCCTTGCATTATTTAGGGCCACTGAGGATATATTTGGTAAAAAAATACTTAACCTTTATAAAATTAAATATAAATAAATATATAATAAAATATATTATTTAGTCTGCTTTATAGTGGATTAAAATTTGTTTTCTAATCTTTTTATTAGAAGTTTTTCTGTTGTGGCTGATGGATTAGATCAGGGTTAGGACATCATTGCCCTGAGGCCAAATCTAACACATTGTCTGCTTTGTAAATTTTACTGAACCACAGCCCATCCTTTTTTTTTTTTTTTTAACCTATTGTCTGTGGCCAGTGTTGTATGGACAGTGGCAGAGTTGAGGAGTTGTGACAGACTATGTCCCAAGAAGGCCTCATACTTGCTATCTAGCCCTTTACAGGAAACGTTTACTGAACAGTGATGATTAAAGCAACGGTTTTTGGTTTGGGTTTTGTTTTTTAAGATTTTATTGATTGATCTTAGAGAGAGGGCACACTGGAGCAGTGGGGAGGGGCAGAAGGAGAGGGATAGGCAGACGCCACGCTGAGCATGGATCCTGCCCGGGCCCCGTCTCAGGACACAGATTGTGACCTGAGCTGAAACCATGAGTCAGAGGCTTAATGACTCAGCCACCCAGGTGCCCCTAAAGCAAAGGTTTTTTTTAAAGTTTGAAAATAAAGTTCATTCTATACTTTGGTTGTAAAATGGGAATTTAGGGGCGGGCTCAGTCAGTTGGACATCTGACTCTTGATCTCTGCTCAGGTCTTGATCTCAGAGTCATGAGTTTGAGCCCCACGTTGGGCTCCACGCTGGGCGTGGGACCTACTTAAAAAAAAAAAAATGAAATGGGAATTTATTTTAAAATTTAATGGAATGGGACATATTTTGTAAACAATTTTATATAATTGAACATCAGTTTTAAGTCATCTAAATTCTTGTAAAACATTTGGAGAGAGAGGGCGCCTGGGTGGCTCAGTTGGTTGAGCGACTGCCCTCGGCTCAGGTCATGATCCTGGAGTCCTGGGATCGAGTCCCGCATCGGGCTCCCTGCTCGGCAGGGAGTCTGCTTCTCCCTCTGACCCTCTTCCCTCTCGTGCTCTCACTCTCTCATTCTCTCTCTCTCAAATAAATAAATAAAAATCTTAAAAAAAAAAAAATTTGGAGAGAGATATGTAGCATGTAAAATTCTTACAGAATTCAGTTTGGTTCTTCTCTACAGGTTAGGCCTTCTGAAGCATTAGCAAGTCACCACTGCCCATGTTCCTGCATTAAAGAATTATGGGTTCTACTCATTCATCTTCTAGAACACAGAAATAAATGGTCTCTTTCAGAAGTAAGTTGTAAAATTGATGTGTTAATTTCTGTTCCTAACTCTTATATTGAATTTTTGCAGTGGTTTTCACCAAGAAAAATGCTACAAAGTTCCTTATATAAGACAGCCACCACCACCAAACAGAGCACTGAGTACCAAACACCTACTACATTTTTAACCCTAAAGTGGCAATATGAAACTTCTAGGAGAAGTGCAGGATTTGACTCTTATTTTCTCAAGTTTTTTGTTGTTGTTCTGTCAAGAATCTTCTTATACTGTCTAGTAATCCAGAAAACAATTTAGTCAAGAAATACAGCAGATTTAGATTTGGGGAGAAATAAAGTAGGTTTTTATTAATGAATTTTATGGCATTATTTCAAGAAAGGAGGAAGAAAAGTGCAAAGGGGAACATAAATCTTCTTGCACCTCATTTTGAGCCAAGTCTTCAGAATGGGGCTTTATTTTATTTCAGGTGTTGTGGATTAGTAGAAAAAGAGAAATACAGGTAGAAGTAAGTACAAATAATTAATTATGAAATGATACAATGATTTATGTTATATGAAAAACTCCTTTGATTTTTCATGGGTTTTATAATTTCCCAGTTTTCCACAATTTGGGGTTTGGATGGTGCTATCTCTTTTTAATAACAAACGTATTTTTGTGGGTTTACAGGTACTATATTTTCAGTTATTATTTTAGCAATAAATTTACTTAAGTATAAATTTAGCATGTCTTATTATTAAGTAAGAAAAAATTTTTTTCCTCACATTTTGGTTTGTCAGAGTTCAGCTTCCTTTGGTGAGATTTCAACATTAGAGTCTCGGGATTTTTTTCCTTTGATCATTTGCCAGGATGTTTTGTCTCATTGACATGGTAAACATCAATTTTTCCATTTTCTGCAAAGCTTATCATTTAAGAATTTTATACTTCTTTATAATTTTTCTTATTTTACCAATTTCAAACTTGAACATGTAAACTACATATAATTAATGTAGGGATGTTCATACTTGATTCTCTTAATCTTTCTCTAGATTTTAAATAGAAAAGTAAGCATAATTTTAAAATATATTGTAGAAATTTGCATAGCAATATATATTGCGTAACCTAAATGATTTATATGCTGTTCATTTGATGTAATAACTAGACTTACTTGTCTTAAAGTAATGAAAATCTGAGGTCATTTCATTTTTTTAATACAAGTAAAATAACTGATATTATTCACAGACTTTGAAGGCTATTTTATTTTTAAAATTGAACTTAGAATTTTCCATGCCTGGAAAGACATTTTGACCTTCCTGTTGAAAAAATAATCTAATGTAATCTAATCATGCTGGGTATCAGATAATAAGCATTTACATGTATCAATAAGCTTGTAGAGAGTGAGAAGTCTTGAGGTCAATACTAAATGTAGGTGGGAACTCAGGTCCCCTGAACACTGAAACTGTCCCATAACCTTATGAGCAGTTGTTAAATTGTATAAACTTGAACACTAGCTTTCATACCTAATAAGGTAAAAGAATAGAAGACAGAGGTCAGAGTTAACCCAAGTTGGTAGCCTACTGATACACTACCCATAAATCTGGGCCCTCAAAAGGATGAACTAGAAACTCAACTAAATTTGTAAGGAAAATTGCCTGTCTTTTACTGTGATGCCTTGCAGTTTAAAATTTCTTCAGTATCTTTGTTACTGCAAGCCAGCCCTCATACAGCTTTATAGCCTGAGTTGCTGTTGCCTAGATTGTACTAAAAATCTCAAGCCAGTGACTTCTAAGCAGGCACAGACAATGGGTAGGTACTTAAACCTGTATCTCCCCTAAGTAACTACCCCCCAAAATATAGAATAGCAAGAACAAATAAAACCACACACACACACACACACACACACACACACACACACACACACACACATTGATAGCATAACTACAAGATAGGAATGATAAAAATGTTAATGGTAAAAACCACCACCAAACTCTACCATAAAACTTTCTAGCAAGCAAGGGCAGCCTGAGAAAAAAATGCTAGCAATGGTCCTCAGATTGGTCTAAAACCACTGCCAGATTGTGAAAATACTGAGATTGTTTCCTTGTAAGTCAGAGAAATGACTATGGGATAGAACTTGAAAGTGTGTATATGACATGAGGAGGAAGTCTTTGAAGGTAGACCTTCTGGAGAATAAAAAGGCAAAAAAGGAATGGTACCCTTGGTGATTGGGAGGTGAAAGGAAATAAAAGGTTAAAATGATCTAGAAAAACAAAATCAAAATTCTCAACACCCATTCTCCTACCACCACCACCAAAAAAGAAAGGAAATCCAGGAAAGAAATGGGACTTTGGTACATTGGCAAAAGAGGGCTCCACTGAACTAGAAATCTTTTAAAGTAGTCTAAATCTACTAAATGAAAGAAAGGAAAAAGAAACTTTGAAACAAGTGTTTATAAGGTTACTACTAGGAAACAGAATTGATACACTTCAGCTGATGAACCCTTTCTCCAAGAAACAACTATGAAACAGAAGAAAATTGTAAGATAACGCTCCAGATTAAACAGACAAGCATTTGGGGCTGTACAAAAACACCCTGAATAAGATATTTAGTTGTTAAAAACAAGACTAAAGCCAGAAGTGAATGGAAAGAGTAAATGGAATGAAGGAGAGAAATGAAAGAAAAATCATTTTAGAGTTGACTAAGTGACAAGGTGCCCAAGAAGAATATACTCAAATGAAGATTTAATCAGGTATGGAAGAAAGACAGAAAACCAGGGGAATAAAAATTAGATGAAGAAAGGAATATAAAGAGTTGGAAAATAGCTGAAATGGAAGATAAGCAAAGAAGAAACAGCTGTATATGTAAATGGAGTCCGTAAAGAAGAAAACAGAATAGGATTTAGCTAACATTCAAAACTATTATCCAAGAAAACATTCCTAAAAAAAAAACTAATTCTACATATTGAAAGGGCCTACCAGATAGCTGGAAAGATTAACTCCAAATAATCCATCCCAAGGCATATCCTGCTAAAACTATTTGACTTCAGAAATACAGAAAATGACTTTAAGTCCTTTAGGAAATTATCAAATTTTCTAGACAAAAAGACCTAATAACTTACAAGAGCAAAGTAATTTGACCTGCACTAGACTTTTCAAAAACATAACAAAAAACAAGTTAACAGTGGAACATTTAAAAAGACTCAGAAAGCCTTCCTCCTTATGAGAATGCAACATGAAGTCTGCTATCTAGAAAAGGGCCCTGACTCCACCGTCACGGACCCCTGATCTTGGACTTCCAGCCTCTGGAATGAATAAACAGTATGACACAGCAGAGCAGCCCCCAGCTTAGAAAAAAGTGATGTAGGTCTTATCTCTTTACTGTATGGAGATTATATGGACCGTAACTATGAGATATTCCCTTGATAGAAAGCTCAAGATCAAGAAAAAGTGACCAAACCAAAAGGAAACAAAACGACAGAAAGTTTGTTCTAAGACAAAAAGAAGCAAGTTAAAAATTACTCTGTGTACTATCTGACATGCAGTGTCTTTGGGGATGGAGATGGATGAGGATAAGCCAAGAAAGAGAAACAGAAAAAACAATTGAAAATTTCAGGAAAAGCAGGGCAGCTTCTCTGCTTCATCCACCTGGGAGTTAATGATATCACAGAAGACGTGATCATTCCCTGAATGTTGACAGCCGGCTGAGCTCCACATAGGGCCTGTTCTTACAAGCTTTCCAGACTGAAGGCAGAGGTTTTTGTTTTGTTTTTTGTGTATTTTCGTCTTGTACAAAGATTTTGAAACTTTGTAATGTGGCAACACTGATTTATACAATGTACTCATTATTATGTTTTTAAAAGAAGAAATCGTGTGTGCAGGTGCGTGTACGCATGCATGCTAACATTCTTCCAGAAAGGAGTATTTGATTCCCTCTCCCTATCCCTTGCCTCCCCCACCTCGTACCTAGAATGAGGGAGGTGAAGATTGAATGGGATTTGGAGTTTTCCTGCTGAGAAAGAGACATTTTCTGCAACCAGGTCTGTGTTCAAAGGACTAATGTTCTAAGGAAATTATCCAAAGAGGAGAGGCCATTCAGGGTTTTTAAGTTATTTTCAAATGTTGCCTGGGCTGCTGCTGATTTCTGTGAAGCCAACAGGATGATGCTTCCCAAGAAGCAATTAGAGAAGCCTAAGGGAGACTCAGGAATGTTTGGAAATTCACATACACCCCAAATGGAAGTAAACTAATTTGATCAAGGACATATTTGTGTTCCAAGAAATAATTCTAAATGCTAGATCTATGTGTATGGCTGTTTTCCTAAAAACCCAACACTCACTATCTAGTAAACATCAACTAGACTTCAACTTCAGAGAAGGAAAGCAAATTAATATTCCTTGAGTGATACTTTGTATGTGCCAGTAAGTAGAATGGGTGTGAGGTTAAGTAAACTGTTCAGATAACAATATGATAAACGGGCTTCCAGTGTGGATTTATTTGATGCTACAACCCATGTTATTTTCCTACCTCATGATTATGTAGGAAAGTGCATGTTTAAGAAAAAGAAAAGGAATAGCTAAATTAATGCACTCCTTTTTTGGGGAAACAGACCTAAATATATTTTAGGTGCACTCCCCAAAGTGCCACAAATAAGGCAGGGGACACCTGTGCGATGCCATGTGCAATCTAGTAGTTTCTGACCTGTACACATTATATTTTAGCTGCCACATGTATGTGTAAATTTATATATGTTGCCACCTTTAAGCATTATAAAAAGATTCTTGCAAAAATTTTCTGTGAAATAAAAACATCAATACCAAAAACAACATAAGGATTCAAAATGTATGGGCCAAGAATTTTATAACTTTGACCCTAGCATTCCCACTTGTAGAAGTTTCCCTTTAATATATACCTATAGCAATTCAAAAATTCATATGCCTCAGGCTCTTTATTGCATTATTTGTAAAAGCACAATGTTAAAAACTACGTAAATGCCCATACACAGGAGAGTAAAACCATGGTTTATTAGCACATTAGAGTATTAGGTATTTGTTCAATAGAATGAGTAAAATATCTGAACTGATGATAGTTTGATTTCCAGGACTTATTGTTAAATAAGCAAAGTGCAAAAGAATACTTATAAGATGCCACCTTCTGTGTATGAAGGTAGGGAAAATAGGAAATGTGTATGCTTAGTTGTCCCAGATAAATACTGGAAAGACAAATCAGGAACTATTGAAATTGGTGGGTAGGAATGGGAGATTGGTGAGTGACAAATGGAGTAGAAGGGTTTGAATGTGTTATGACATTAGAACCATGTTAATTTTTAACATGCTCCAGAAATAAATCAACGTGTACGGAAGAGGAATTCAGTGGAATATAAAGAAAAACACTTGAACCTAACTGTATTCCAAGTGAATAACACATGGGAGGAGCTATGGGGGCCAGGGTTGGGGGAGTGGGATCTGACCTAGAGGACTTGGAATGCACTACTTTGACAATCTGCCCTAAGGCTAAAGACAAAAGAATTATAACAAACTTCAGATCCTGGACTCTTGTTTGTAGATTTGTCTTACAGTGTTATATATGGGTTAGCAGTTCTAGATATTTGTACTCTAGGACTGAGCAAATTAATAAGTACATTGTGGGTAATTAAGAACCAGCTTTGCCACTGTTGGAAAATTGAGTTATAAATATGGAAAGAGGGAAAGGTAGAGTGAAAGATAATGTGTTGGAATGTAATTTGAGAGATCAGTATGAAATAATGTTTTTTAAAAATTGGAACTAGATTAGAGATTTGTGTGTACGTACATGCATTTCCTACCTTATCCACTAGGTGGGCCTACAAACGATGGTATCTGAGTAACAATGAGGAAACTGCAATGTCTTGGTCTTGAAATTACTAACCTCCATTGAAAAGAAACAAAGTTCCTTTGGCAAATGTCTTGATCTTCCATGCTAATGCATGGAAAATGAAAAATGAGACTGGAACATTCTGTACCAGAAACTAAGGAGGTACTCAGAAAATAATGAGGACATATCAAAAGGACAAAAGAGCCAACATGAAGATCTCCCACACTCTAAACCTAGAATAATTTGAGAAACAAAACAAACGATAACAGAGGATTGTAATCTATACAATAAGTGTTTGTTTCCATACTGATATAAATAAATAAATAAGGGGAGGGAAGGGAAATTCTTCCTAATAAATGTAGATGTTGATGATGGAATTAGAAAATCACCAGTTGACAGCCTCCTTAGTAATTGTTTCGTTTCAGGCATGAATCCTCAGTGGCCGCCAAAAGTATGATGAGAAACAGTATTTGCACAGCTTGCTGTGTCTCTACAATACCACTTACAAGGGGAGCCGTAACTTTACAATGTAGAGTCTGGCAGATACCATCTTAGCCATGTGATCAAAGTTAACCAATAAGAGGACAAATTGATATTATGTACCCTCAGTATGATGCAATGAAAGAAGAAAAATGTTTCTTTGGTAATCTTGCCAAAAATGTATACTGTGAATCTAATTATGAAATTATGAAAGATAATTACTGAAGAACTGTTACCGATTAAAGGAAATAGAAGAGACCAGGTAGCTAAATGCAGCATGTGAGAATACAGAGGAAATCTGATAATGCTTTTATCTGTAGTCCCAAAGGAGAGGAAGTAGAGAGTGGAACAGAGCAAATACTTGAGAAAATGGCAGAAATTTTTCCAGTGTTAATGAAAGCTATTGTATTAAGAAACCCAATCAGTTCTACATAGGGTGAATAAAAAAAGAAAAGCAGACCTGATACATCACAATGAAACTCCAGAACATCAAAGACAAAGAGAAGAGCTAAAAGCATTCAGACAGAAAATTATGTTACCTTCAAAAGAGTGACAATTAGACTGTAAACTGACTTCTCAAAAGCAAAGGAGGCCAGTGGGAATGGTACCTTCATTGTATTAAAGCAAAGTAGTTGTCAACCTAAAATTCTTTACCAACGAAATCTTTCAAGAGTGAGGTGAAACAATGCTATTGTCAATGAAGCAGAATTGAAGGGAATTCTAAAAGATATATTTTAGAAGAATGATGCCTGAATTGGGGAAAGGGGGAGGTGGTGTGATGTATGAAGGAATAAAGCACAAAGAAACTAGTAAATATTTTATATAAGTCAGTAATATAATCTACTGGAATTTAAAAAAGAGAGTTTACACAGTAATACTGGCCTAGAAATTGGATAGGGCATAAATGAATTTAAGGTCCTTATTTTGTTTAAGAGAAGAGCAAAGATAAAGATATATATTATCAAGACATTTGGATGTATTATTTCTAAGGTAATCACTGAAAGAAGAGAAAGACTAACTTACAAGCTAGTAGAGGGGGAAAAAAAAGAAATATTTAACCCAAAAGAACTCAAGAAAGGAGTGTTTGTGGAAAACATACGTATACAAACAAATACAGAATAAGATGGTAGATTTAAAACTAAATGTATGTCATTAACTGCAAGTGGACTACTGAAATGCTCATTTAAAAGATACACTGTCAAAACAGAATGTAAGCTGTTTACAAGAGGTAATCTAAAACAAAATGCAGAAAGGCTCAGAATTGATAGGAAAAGATGTAAGAAAGGTAACGTATTACACTAATATTGGAGAAAATTAGACTTTAAAACCAACAGAAGCATTAAGTCATTGTGTACTAATAAAAGGTTCAACTTATCAGGAAGGCAGAGTAAATTAATATTTTTATGTGGCTAAGAACAAAGTATTAAATGTAGAAAATAAAAATTGCCTGAACTACAAGGAGAGATACACATATGCATAGAAATATTGAGATAGGTGAAAGAAGATATAATTGAAATTGTAAAATATTTAAAAGTGAATGATAACTAACATACTAGTTAAAGCTTTGGGAATGTAGCTAATGATACAGAGGGAAATTTATAACTTTAAATACAGACGTTAGAGGGGAAAGAAAGTGGAAAATTAATGAGCTAAGAATTCATCACACAAAAAGTTAGGGGAAAAAAATCCCTGCATTATAAACCCAAAGAAAGTAAAAGGTAGCAAATAAAACTAACACAGATTTATGAAATTGAAAATAACAAAGATGATCAAATCAATGAAAATGATCAAAACAGTCAAAAGTTGGCTCTTCAAAAAGATTACTAAAATTGGCTAATTTTTCCTGAAATTATTACAGTCAATACTAGAAATTTAAAAAAGAACATGGCTTCAGATTCTGCAGATATTTTAAAAGTTGAGGTATTGTCACCAACTGTATGCCTAATAACTTGAATAGGTTTATGAAATGGACAAATACCTAGAAAAAAAAATTTACTGAAAACTCATCAAATGTTCAACAGTATATCAGGTAAATGGTTTATCATATAGTTATATATTAGAATACTCTGATGAGCTGGGGCTATACTCATTAAAGTGGATGAATCTCAGAAACATGTTGAGGAAAAGAAGCAAATTATGAAAGAATACAATTAGGCCACTTAAGAATACAAACATGCATTAAAAAAAGTAGTGGTAGAAAGCCGAGCGATATATGATTTAGGCTTATATACCTGTGTGACAAAACAAAAAAGGGGGGGCATGATTTATTATGAAGGTCAGGATAATGGCTACCCCTGGACAGCGGAAGATGTGATTGTGGAACATGTAGGATCTTTGTAAAGTACTAATTAGGTCTAGTTCTTGTGTTTTTATTATACTTTTAAGTTTTATAAACGTGTTTTGTTTTCTTTTTTTGTGTGTATATTTGTGCAAGTGGAGGAAAAAGCCCAAACCAAAGGTTATATTCTTTATTTAATTGAATCATACTACCTCTCTTTCTATAGTCATTTTGGAACTGGTTGAGTAAACTACTTAAAACATTCTTTGAAAAATCAAGTGACCGAAAACGACCTTCTGTGCCTGTAATCCAGCCCAGGGATCCATTAGGTTTTAGTTGGTGGATCATCACTCACATAGCATCACTTTACCAGTTTGATCGCCACGGAACACCAGATGAAATGGTAAGATTTTATTTTTTTAAATTGCCTTATATTATTAATTAATATGTATTTTTGTAGACAGAAAGTAAGTGAGCACAGAAACAACAAAAATTAGATCACAGTCCTACAGAGATAAATTCAGCTTTTGAATCTAGAAGTTTTAGACCTTTCTGTAAACATCCAGAAAAATGATAATCTTTATGTTTTTATTGTTTGTTTAAGGAAAAACACCTTGTAGAAGACTTGGGATCTAATCCTGGCTCTGCTACTAAGTAGTTGCTTGACCTTCAGTAAATTGCTTCAACCTTTCTGGGCCTCTATTCCCCCATCCAGAAATCTAGGGATTGAGTTGTTCAGAAAATGTCTTCTAGTTCTAACATCTGTAAGATTGCTGACGGGAAAGCTTATATCTCCAGTAGTGAATTAGTAGTTTCTGTGAATAATTTCATAAAATTATTTCCTCAGAATAATACTTCTTTAGGGAAGCCTTTTATAAAGATAATCTATTAATCGTGAGGTTTACTTCAAATAGATTTTAATTATTAATTTCTAGTGAGAAACATTTTTTACAGTGTTATTTATAAACCCCTATGAATAAAACTGGCTGGTAGACATATTTATTTGAAGCCCTATTTGTGTATAATTTCTTCCATGTTTAGAAGTCAATAGCATAGTATTCTATCAGCCCATCAGTTCCATAAAATTAAACGTCTAGAATCTTGAAGCCAATGTATCTGTATTTTCAATATTGGTCTTTTTTTTGATCATCAGACCTACCCACAAGTTTCTAAAAAATTCAGATTTCCAGATCTCAGCTCTGGAGATCCTGATTTAGTAATCTGGTTTGGAGTTTGGGAATTCTTATTTTTAAGAAGTTTCTTGGTTCTCATCATCCACCAGGTATAGGGATCATTGCTTATGAAGCCTGTTCCTTGACTGATTTTTCTCTCTTTGAAATACTGGACAGAGTCAGCTCAGAAATCATGCATGGAATCTGAAAATCAGTTAACATTGACAGTAGCGTCATAGAAATGGAAAGGGCCTCAAAAGGTACTCTAAATAATCTCCCTAATAATAATAAGGTTTTTCAGGAGATCGCAAGATAGAGTAAACTAATGAAGTCAGAAAGTACTCTGAGAAGCTCACCGACAGCTCAGTATTAACGCATTTAAGCATTGTTTTGAGAGGGATCAATTGAATTTATTTTATTGACAGGGATCAATAGAATGAACTTCTCAGAGAAAAGGATTGTATGTCTTTTGTTTCTGTACATGAGTTTTTACAATGCTGATACATAGTAAATACTCAATAAATTTTAGCAGATTGCCATTATTATTGTAGTAACCCTCTTATTGAATATTTTTGTGAAGTTAATAGTTTAACATCTTTTAATTATTAGGATACTAGAACAACATTAAAAGAACTCAAAAATTAACCTATAATTCTAATGTCTTTACAAAAACATTTTTTCTTCCCATTTTAATTCCCCCAAGTACATATTTCTGATTTTAATCAGTATAAATAAATATGGTAATTAGTTAAGCACTTCTGAGTTCCCATTGAGTGGCTATCATAATAATAGGTGCCAATGATAGGATATACATGAAACAGATTGTACTGCCTCTTGCTTCAGGGAACATGATTTCAGATTATTAATGCTTGCTGGAATTGCCGTTAACACTTGTGCGAGTGAGTGGTGTATTTCAATAGTGGTTGATATTGACCTCCATGTACTCCCAGTGTGGTACATAATCTAGCTACATTAATATATATCATTACTATTACTGTTGTAATGTTGAATTGCACTGGTACAACCACCCACAGTTGCATTGCTGAAATCACTCTTCTATTTCATACAGAGAACTCCATAGGAAATTAGTGCTTTTATTAGCTCTGAATCGAGATAGTAATTGAATTGTCTGTATTTAAAGTAGCTTAACCTTTGTCTTTTAATGTCAGCAGTTCCTGTGTGATTATCTTTTGCCAAGATACATATATTTTTAAAAATCTTAATTCTTTTTTTTTTCTTTAAAGAGTTTATTTATTTGACAGAGAGAGACACAGCTAGAGAGGGAACACAGGCAGAGGGGGTGGGAGAGGGAGAAGCAGACTTCCCTCCTGAGCAGGGAGCCCGACGCGGGGCTCGATCCCAGGACCCTGGGATCATGACCTGAGCTGAAGGCAGACGCTTAACAACTGAGCCACCCAAGTGCCCCAAAAATCTTAATTCTTTATGGGGTGCCTGGGTGACTCAGTCGTTAAGCATCTGCCTTCGGCTCGGGTCATGATCCCAGGGTCCTAGGATCGAGCCCCGCGTCGGGCTCCCTGCTCAGCCAGGAGCCTGCTTCTCCCTCTCCCACTCCCCCTGCTTGTGTTCTCTCTTTCACTGTGTGTCTCTCTGTCAAATAAGTAAATAAAATCTTGGAAAAAAAAATCTTATGTAGGAGGTTTTAGGAGGAAAAAGCTATGATATTTGAAAAAGAACCTTTCATATAAAAATAATAAAGATGCATAATATATATGTATATGTGTATATGTAAAATAGACTTTGCCTGTATTCATGAGCCCTCAAAGAGTTTCAAATGTTTCTGGACTCTTTAATAGCTTTTAAAGAAAAATACAAGCTCTCTAGTTGTTACTAGTTTTCATTAGGGGGGATACCTTCAGCATATTGCATTTGCACAGTGTTTAATATCTCACAGTCAGTTTTTATCTCAGTTAAGTATTGCGAAGCAGATGAGAGGGTAATATGTCCATTTTATGGGTAACAAAACTGAGGTACACCGTACTTAAATATCAGCCTGTTTTTATCACTTAGATAAACTTGATATTAAAGTCCTCCTAAAGACTGCCTTTTATGAATAGGCCTTTGGTAGGGTAACGATGTGTACCAGTTTGCCATGGACAGTCCCTATTATGCCTATGATCCCCTTATCGTATCTGGTTAGTTTTCCCTTTTACTCTCAGAGTGTGTCAATTTGGTTCGTAAAGTCATATAATCATTCTAATCTATGAAACTTAAAGGCATATTGACTCATCCTTTCAGAGAGATTATATAGGATGTTAATTTGGGTCTGGGATATATTTAGATCAGAATTTTGAAAATTATCTGAATTCATTTTTCTCCTTATGATATAGTATCATAGCCAGCTGCCATATAGAAAATGGCGATGCAGGGGCGTATGGGTGTCTCAGTCCCTTAAGCGTCTGCCTTCGGCTCAGGTCATGATCCCAGGTTCCTGGGATCAAGCCCCACATCGGGCTCCTTGCTCAGCTGGGAGCCTGCTTCCCCCCCCCCCCCGCCACTGCCCCTGCTTGTGTGCACACTCTCTCTCTCTGTCAAATAAATAAATAATCTTTAAAAAAAAGAAAATGGCCATGTACTAAGCATACTTTATTTCACTAACAAGTAATCTGGTGTGAGAGGATGATAGGAAGTGATAATGGTTAGACCTACATTCATCAGTGGAGAATATCTCTAATGTGAAAACCATAGAGATGTTTCAGTTTTTAAATGTGAACTGCTTTGCTCTGAAAGTTAGCATGAAATTTTTACATTTTAAATAGGTTTCAGATATGCTTAATTTTTTAATTTTATTTTAAAAGTTTTGTGTGAATTGAACTTTGGCTATATGTATATTTAAATCACGAAACTTGCCAATTGCTTAATATAGGCTTATAAGGAAAATTTGGTATCTCGTTTCTCATGCCAGAGGCTTTAGGTTTTCATGTATTTCTATTTAATGCTTTTCTTTCAACCTAGATAAGAGTGTGTTATCCTCTCACAATCCCTGTCATCTACTTTAAAAGTAAATATCCTTTAAAGAGAAAAGATATTTTTGGGCATTGCAGGGATCAGTTTAACAGTATTTTCCCTGCTCAGAACATAGTGCAATCAGTCAGGCCAGCTGTTGCTCGTCTTTGAAACATCTGAAATGGTGACTAGATAAAAGGTCTGAAATAAAACCTTAAAGTGAAAGTTGTACTAGGTTACCTAGTCTGTTGGAAGTGGAGTATGAGGGATCTATTTTATATGTGTGATGGAGACACCACTATCCTGAGGCTTAAGTGGGTGTCTTAGCTTTGATGGTGGGATAAGACATATAAAACATAGCCCAAAATTGATGACTTCCTATTTCCTTTTTATTGGAGGAATTATGTATAACTTAGTATGTAGAAAACAAATGTAGATGCTTGAGGTTCAGTTTTGCTGTGGGGAAAAAAAATATCCTTTGATACATAGTCTCTTACTCAGACTTGATTTGGGCATGATTTAGTTGCCATTTAATCTGAATGATGGTTTGTTTTTGTTTTAGATTATAGCCACAGTATGATGAACAGAGTTGAAATTCCTTGGACAAGAATTATGTTACTTCTCTATGATTCATGTGATTCAAAAGTGCCTTGATAGAACAGAAATTAAAATATACTCATTAACACTATCAAATCATAAAGCTAAATACACCAATCCTGTCATATTCCTGCTTATTTGGGACTAGTGGTGATGTTTTCTTTGTAAAGAGCAATATAAAAGTGAATTACTGAAAGCTGTGGGAAGGCTTGTTAGAAAATGGAAGGAATACTCGCTTTGGAGCAAAATCCTTGCTCTGACTTGTATATACATGACCTCTCAGACTTAATTGTGTTATCTGTGAAATGGAAAAATTTTCTTTTGAGGAAGTAATAATGTAAAGACACTAACTCAGTGTACATATAGTATTATGGGACAAAATGGTCTTTTTTTTTTTTTTAAGATTTATTTATTTATTTTAGAGAGAGAGCGAGCACGTGAGAATGCCTGGGCCCTGGGCCTGTGCAAGTGCGGGGAGGAGCAGAGGAAGAGAATCTTAAACCGACTTCCGCCAAATGCAGGGTCCAGTGCAGGGCTGGATCCCACAACCTTGATATGACCTGAGCCAAAATCAAGAGTTGGATACTCAAGTGACTGAACCACCCAGGTGCCCCTAAAATGGTCTCCTTTTGGAAGAGTTTTAGGGCACAATCTCAAGGCTGCTCTCATTTCTGACACCAATTGCAAGCCCAAGAATTCCCAAAACCATATAATTTACTTAGACTTACAGAACTCACTGAGAACTCTTATACTCAGGGTTATGGTTTATTACAGGGAAAGGATAAAAATTAAGATTAGCTACGGAAAAGTATATAGTGCAGAGTCCAGGAGAAGTACCAGATGTGGAGCTCCTTTTGTTTTCTCCCCATGTAGTCAAGATCCGTTAGTTCTGGCATCAGTGTGTGTGTGACAGTATGTGGGGAGTATTTCCAATCAGGAAAGCTTGCCCAAACTGCAGTGTTCAGTTTTTATTGGAGCACCATTGTATAGGCATGATGGATTGATTGCCCACATGGTTGATCTCAGTCTTCAAATCAGCTGTCCAGGTCTCCATAGCCCTTAGTGTAGGTCACATTGTTGGGTTTTGGGCATGGCCAGCCTCCACCTTCAACTGTAAGACTATTCAGTAGGACTCTAGGCCCCCAGGCAAACAAAGATACTCCTTATCAGGTATAACATTCCAAGGATCTAGAGATTACTTACCTGAATCCTTGGCTTCAGTAAAGGCCAGACTCTTTCGGCAGAGCCAAATGCTTTACTACACATTCTCTCATAAATGTTTTGCATTCACTTTACTTACATAAATGCATTTTAAAAAGTCAAAAATTCTTCTGCTAAAAATAACCAAGTCATTGTGTGAGTTATCTATTACTGTGTAACAGAACTTGGCAGCTTAAAACAATAAACATTGATTATATCACACAGTTCCTAAGTGTCAGGTATACAGCAGGAGCTTAGCTGGATGGTTCTGGCCCAGGATCCTTCATGAGGTTGTGGTTAGCTATCAGCAGGTGCTTCAGTCTCTGCAGACTTGACTGGAGCTAGAGGATTCACTGCCAGTCTTTCTCATGTTGTCAGGAGACTTTGGTTACTACTGATCACATAGGCCTCTGCAGGCCTGTTCACACTATGGTTTTTCCTGACAGAGTCAACAAGAGAGATTTTCATTAAGATGGAAGCTTCAGTGTCTTCTAACCTAATCTTGGAAGTGACATACTATCACTCCTATTAGTGTTGATATTCTGTTGGTGACAGACCAACTCTGGTATGGGGTGGGGTGGGGTGGGGGTGATGAAGAGTTAAATAAATGTGTGAATACTGGGAGATGGGTCATTTGGGGCCATTTTTAGACGGTGGCAACCACAGTCACTGAGTACCTTTATTAAGGAAATGTTTATTTAGTGATTTTATGTAGTTAGCATCTTACATGAACATTCTCCAGCCATTTAGAATCAAGAATATTGAACATGCTTTAATCGTTTATTGGTCATTTGTGTTCATCCTTCTGAACAACAATAGGGATGGTAGGATATGCAGAGGCTCTTTGCTTCTATTCTTTAAGGCCCTTGGCTTTGCCTTTTGAGGTCTTAGAGTTACCTTTTGTACCTTTTTCACTCTGTCAGGAACTAGATGTTCCTTGCTTCCTCTCAGAGGCATTCTCTTTGCTTCTGGTTTTGACCAATATGCACATATATCCAAAGCTTTAAGAACTGAGTAGCAAGTGAACTGTGTATCCTGTGAGAAAGTCCTCCAGGCTTTGCTGTGGGAAGGTGAAGTCGTTTTTAGTGCCTAGCTTTTGTGTAGTAGTTTGGCTTTTTGAAAGTCGTCTTCAGCTTTCTTCCTTATTGTGAGGAGTTTTGCAGCTAGTTGGGGTTGCCAGATAAGTGACCATTGATTAAATGAGGTAGCACTGTGTATATATTTTTTTAATTTTCTGTATAAAATTTTTAGTTACTTGTTAACTAGAGTAGACTCTCTTGACATTATTGTGCATAAAATGAAAAAAATCTCTGGTGAGTACAGAATAAGGAAAAACACTCAAGGCATAAAAACTCCACAAACTACATGAAGTTTTTTTGTGGTTTTTCCTGTTAGATTATATATGACAGCAAAAATTAGATATTTGTTAAAACATTTATAATTTTATAGAAATCCCATTGCTTAATAGAACAACTGATAGGGTTTATATTGGATTGGAATAGTTATAAGCTTTTTTTCTACCAAGTCTGTCACATAACTCTTTGTCCAGGTAATTTTAGACATTCAAGAAATTGTAATGATGTCTGATAATAGAGAAGATGTTTGTACTTCCTAGCTTGCTGTACTGTAATTTGAATGCATAATTAAGAGTAATAATTTTGGTGCAATATTCTCCCTTTCTAGAGACAAATGGAATCAAATTGGAATTTTGTAGAAGAACTGCTTAAAAAGTCCATCAATGTTCAGGTATGCTTTCAAAGTGACACAATTTGTGGGCTTTGCTAAATTTTTAACGCTCCAGATTTTATAAGAACCAAACTCTTAAAATGATTTAAATAACAAACTTCGTTTACTTATTAAAAACCTGAGGTAGAATCCTCATTCTTTGTTAATGAAGGGTCAACATGAGATCATTGCTATGAGTGACTATCCTTTGAAGATTTTTATTTTAAACACTGAGTTGCCAGTTGAAGGACAAATAAAATTATCCTAGTTGGTGACTTTGACAAAATGTATTCAGAATAAGTAGCAGATGTTTCAAAACTATAAGCCATTCCTTGACTGTATGGTATCAAGTCTAGGAGACATGATGAGGGAGATAGTAGCATTGGAAATTCAGCTGTATCCTCATCACAGCAGGAAGGTGACTTGCCTTGCTGAGCAATTTGTCTTACAGGCTCGAATCATACTTTTAACTGATAAGGTCCTAGTTTCTGAGCCCTCATTTCATACGTTATCATTTTTCTTTCTGCAGAGCTGTTAATGTAGTGCTTCATGGCCCAGAGGTCAGATTTGACCTCCTTTTAAAATAGTTTTAAAGGTGCTATTCATCACATCTTTAAACATACTGTATTGTAGTCCTGTAAAGTTTTGTAATATAAGTTACTTATATAAGAATTTAAGGGGAAATTTTAGTAAAGAATATTATTAAATTTGGGAAGTAGATTACTTTTCTGTTAGGAAATAAAGATTGTTAAAAACTTGTAGAGGAATAAACAAATATGATAGTACAAGATTGATATATATATCACATATACATACGTACATACCCATTTATACATACAAACACACGCACATACTCACTTATTTTGTAGCCATATCTTTAAAACTCATTTAATAGAGTGAAATTGTCTTTTCCCTGTTATCTATATTAACTTAATTTTTTTAGGTGAAGCATATAATAAGTAAGTACATTTAGTTTATAATATGAATCTTCTAATTGAGTAAAGATTCTAGGTTAGAATTCCAAAGATCTATGCACATATTGTTTTTTTTTTATGTCATTTTAATTGGCTTTCTCCTTCATTCTTTTTGAGAACATACTGATTTAGTAATTCAGAAAGTCTCTTACATATATTTTTTTTTCTTTAAGAATGTAGGGAATCACTAAAAACTGTTTATTGTTCTTTGTATTAGCTATTAATCCAGTCTCAATGCCTTAACATAACATAGCTTAAAAACCTCTTAGTTATACTTCCTTTAGGCTTTAACAGTGTATCAATTTATGGTTTTGTTCAGGTAGGTTTTAAATTACAGAATATTTCTTAGGAGGCTCTAAAGGTTCATATGGGTAAGTACCCATATATTCATAATGATCTGGGACAAACAGGAGAAAGAATTTATCATCATATCTCTTCCATAGCAAAGTTTGCTCTTTGACCAAGAGATTGAAAACCCTCCTTCAACCCTTTTAGTTGCTTGAAAATTAATTATTTTTTTCTTTGGATTTATGACTCTAATTTTGATGTTAAATGAAGTTAACTCATTTACTTGGAAAAAAAAAACTTTGGAATGTCTTACTCATAATGTGATAAAAGTTATTCTGATACTGCATAATATATGTTTACAATATAACTAGTATTTTAATGGTGTTAGCTAAACCTGTCTTGAAGATAAATAAGTAATTCTTGGAAGTAGGTAGTATGATCATCAGAATTTTCCTGGCTTTTGGTTTCCCAGAATGTGGGACTTCCAGTGCTAAAACCAGAAAAGCCCTGAGCAAACTGAGAGGCCAGTCTTCTTAGAAGTAGAGAGAGTATAGCTAATCCAGGAAACTTTCTCTGGGAATTTAGACACAGTGTAAAGTCAAAATCATTTTTCCTGTGAGAGAAGTCATTATAATATTTAGAAAGAAGTAGTCCATTTTCTCTAGTGATCTTTCAATTTTGTCATGCCTTGATTGTATCAAATTAGATTTTAAAAGTAGTATAGTACTACTTGCTGGAGTTCTTGAAATCAATTTTGTGGGTGCAGTAGGCGGTCATAAAGAATAAGTAATATGTTTGAATAGAACCATCAGTTTGATTATATCTGTTTTCCCCCATTGAGGTAAATTAAAATCTGACCATGCTCATGCGCTTTGACTTTATCTCCAACAGTGAAAGAGCCCATTTGCAATATTTAAAAAACATACATTCCACATATAAAGCAGTCGTCAGATATAATTGATAGGCATGCCACTGTAATTTTAATTAAGCAAATAAGTTCCAAATCTTTTTCTAGCCAGAAAGGATTTTCTAGAAACAGACATTGTAGTTTGTTAGTAAAAAACATATATTGTTTAATTTTGCTTCTCTAGGTATGATTGAATAGTTTTTACCTTAAAAACAGTTTCTTAGAGGCAGTACTATTTAATATTTGTGTATGCTGACAGTATTGTTCTACCTTTAAAACAGCATTATTGTTTTCATATGAAAAGGGGGATTTTTCCTTTTATACTACCTGCTTTTTAAAGCCTCATTTTCTGACATCACAAACAATTTCCTACTAAAGGCTATGGGTGGGTATAAAAAGAAATCCTAAACAAGTGTAATATTCTTTAAAAATTATTTTCATTTGCCAAGGAGTCTGAGGAGTGCAAGGCTAAAAACAACTTAGAATGTGATTAGATTTGAATGATGTGGCACTGTAACCTTTTTTTTTTTAAGACTTTATTTATTTAGGGGGAAGAGATAGAGCAGGGGGCGGGGCAGAGGAGAGGGAGAGGATCTCAAGCAGACTCCCTGCTGAGCATGGAATCCAGTGCAGGACCATCTCACAACCCTGAGATCATGACCTGAGTTGAAACCAAGTCAGACATTCAACTGACTGAGCCACCCAGGCACACCTGGGATAGTAATCTTCGAATTACTAATTCAAAATCATTGTGTTTCTTGGACAGACGGATCTTGACTGGGATATTGAAGTTCAATTTACTTTTTTTTTTTTTAAGATTTTATTTATTTGACAGAGACACAGCAAGAGAGGGAACACAAGCAGGGGGGGTGGGAGAGGGAGAAGCAGGCTTCCCACTGAGCAGGGAGCCCGATGCGGGGCTTGATCCCAGGACCCTGGGATCATGACCTGAGCCGAAGGCAGACGCTTAACAACTGAGCCACCCAGTGGCTTCGGTGGCCACCCAGAGCCACCCACCCACTTCGGTGCCCCGAAGTTCAATTTACTTTATCCAATCCTAAAAATAAGTCCAGTCAGGCAGACTGACAGTCATTATTTAACTTGCAATTAAATTTTATTCTTCTGATGATTTCTTCTAGGTAGGTTTGTTATGCCTAAAGAAATGAATCCCCAATTGTTAAATTGCTATTTTTATAAAATAAGCTAAAAGTATTTTTTTTAATCCCAGTATAGTTAAAATAGCGTTATATTAGTTTTAGGTATACAATATAGTGACTCAACAATTCCATATATTACTCAGTGCTGATCATAATAAATGTACTCTTGATCCCCTTCACCTATTCCACCATTCCCCCGCCCACCTCCCCTCTGGTAACCATGTTTGTTCTCTATAATTAAAAGTCTGTTTTTTGGTTTTGTCTTTTTCCCCCTTGTTTGTTTTGTTTCTTAAGTTTCATATATAAGTGAAATGATACGGTATTTGCCTCTCTCTGACGGGCTTATTTTGCTTAGCATTATACTCTCCAACTCCATCCATGTTTTTGCAAGTGGCAAGATTTCATTCTTTTTTTTTATGGCTGAGTAATATTCCATTGTGTGTGTGTGTGTGTGTGTGTGTGTGTGTGTGTGTGTGTGTATACATACACACACCATTCTTTATCCATTCATCTATCGATGGACACTTGGGCTGCTTCCATAATTTGGCTATTGTAAGTAATGCTGCTATAAACATAGGGCTGCATATATGCTTTCAAATTAGTATTTTTGTACTCTTTGGGTAAATACCCAGTAGTATGATTACTAGATCAAATGGTAATTCTATTTTTAACTTTTTGAAGAAGCTCCATACTGTTTTGCAGAGTGGCTGCGCCAGTTTGCATTCCCATCAACAGTGGAAAGAGGGTTCCTTTTTCTCCACATTCTTGTCAGCGCTTGTTTCTTTAGTGTTTTTGATTTTAGCCCTTCTGACAGGTGTGAGGGGATATCTCAATATGGTTTTGATTTGCATTTCCCAGATGATTAGTGATGTTGAGCATCCTTTCATGTGTATGTTGGCCATAAAAGAGTAAATGTTTCCATTTTTAGTTCAATAAAAGAATTTCATGTATGGAATATACTTGAATTTAATATGCCTAAATTTGATCTTTCAAAATAAAGATAGGAAGGCATTCTTTAAAAAGTGGGGCACCTGGGTGGCTCAGTTGGTTGTGCATCTGCCTTCGGCTCAGGTCATGATCACAGGGTCCTAGGATGGAGCCCCACGTTGAGCTCCGCACTCAACAGGGAGTCTGCTTCTCCCTCTGTCCCTCCCCCTACTTGTCCTCTCTCTTTCTTCTCTCTCTCAAATAAAATCTTTAAAAAAAATTAAAATTAAAAAGGACTAAAGCAGAGATCAAGAGCAGGCACTATGGAATATTCTGGGGTAGCTTTCTCATTAAATAGTTTATGCACACTCACACAGCTGGGATGAGACACAGAGAGCCCACAGGGTCTTGTGAAAAATGCAGAAGCTGAGGAGCATAGCCTCTGGGATTGAGGCAGGCAGGTTTAAGGCTGTGTAGAAAAGAGGGGCCCATAGGCCTTCTGGTTTATTAAAAAATCTTTAATCAGAGGGCACGGATTTAGATGTAGTCATTCAGACCTCTCGTTTAGGTAGAGTTTGACCTTAACACGCACAAAATTGAAATATATCAGCTTAAGGTACGATACTGAGAACCTGTTACATTTATTATATGATCATCAAAAGCGTCAACATTGGGCCTAAAAAAATACATCTCTTGTGGACAACAAAGTAATAGCTATCCCTATGCAAGCACTGTACTTAGCACTTAATGTGCTTTCTTGCACTTCAT